AGACACACTCCCTAGAGAGAACAATCATGGGAGAAGGAAGGGCTGCTTATGCACAGGGAGACAGCTCAGGGGGCAGGAGAGTATGGAGGGATGGTCACTGGGAAGAGGTAACTATGGGGAAGAAGTGGGATGGGAGCTGTTGCATTGTGGTGAACTGTGGTCAATGACATAAGACAAAGTATATGTGAACTGCTGTATGGAAAGTGAATTTGCTCTGTAAATCTTCCCCCAAATCACAATAAATTATATAATTTTTTTAAAAAAAAGAACTTATTCCTACTTCAGCTTTATTTTCAGTAAGGGTACAATAAACTTATTCCATTCCCAAGGCTGATTTCTTTAATTTCCTTGTGATATGACATTATTTAGTTCTAGAGCATTAATATAATATGCATATAATACTCCAGAAAACAAAAAATTCACTGCCTTCGAGCCAGTCCTGATTCATAGTAACCCCTCCTTGGTTTTCCGAGGCAGTATCTCTACAGAAGTAGATTGCTCAGCCTTCCTTCCAAGGAGTGTCTGGTGGGTGTGAACCACCAGCCTTCTGGTTAACAGTCAAATGCCTTAGGCACGACGCCACCAGAGCTCCCATGTAATACCCAGATTTGTTTTAATGTTAAGCCACTAATAATACTTCAGAATTTCCTTATGAGGATACTTTGAGTTAAAAGAAATATGTGTCTCTAATTCATTTGGAGCAACAGAGGAAGGAGGAGAGAGTCAGGAATAGGAAGAGGATATGGGATATGTGGCTGATTACCTCCATGAACAGCTGCCTTTTTTGTCCCAAGACCAGAACTGGGTGGTGCCCAGCCACCATTACTGAACATTTTGATCGAAGATTCCTTAAAAGAATCCTGATCAAAAGGAGGAAAATGCAGAACAGACTTTCAAATTTTCATGGACTCTAGATGTTTGGGAGCCATGGAGGGTGGATGAACCCCTGAAACTATTGCTCTGAGGTCATCTTCAAACCCTAAACCAAAAGTATTCCCTGAAGTCTTCAGTAGTTTAGCTTAACTAGTAAGAAATGTCTGTCTTGAACTTTGAGCTCTTGGAATAACTACCCATATGAGATCAGATTGCAAGCAGGCAACTCAAAAGGTTAGAACCATAGGAAGCAGTGAGTAGATGCTAATGGATGAGAAACAACTCAGTAGAGGGTAGGGATGGCTGCACAACAGCACAGAGGCTGTTATCAGTGTCATGGAATTGAACACGTAGAAACGGTTGCGTTCGTGTATGTTTTGTTATATATATCTTCAACAGTAACAAAATTTAGAGGAAAAAAATGTGTTAGCTTAATTGGGAAACTTTTAAATATGAGAAAATAAGTTAGGCATACATATGTTAGGTCTTACTAATCTCTTGATAGCTTTCTCTCCCACTCTTTCTCCACCCCACCTCCAACGTATACCCACAAGGAACCTCCTTGAAGTGGTTTTCAAACTTTTGTGTTCTATTTAAAATAATTGGCCTTTTAGAAATTCTTCCCTTGTGTAATAAATAATTAGTAACCAAGGAGGAAATTTTAAAAAATGTTCAAAATGAGCCAGAGATTTAATTTAAAATGTGTAAGCACATGGGAGAAGGTGGTTTATTCTTTCTGGATACCATAATCAAGTCATGGCTTTATTTGGTATTTAATGAAGTGATATATTTCCATATATTATCTGTTTTTTTTTTTTTTTTTTTAATCTGTATTACATCTCTTTTGCAGATGTCATGTTTTCTCTTATTTCCAATACTTGGAGGTCTTACTGAATCAAAGCCTAAGTGTGTTTGAGAGAAAATCCGGTTCTTACTCTTGTATGAAGTCTGCCCTGTCCTCTGGAAAGCACCCTTGTGTGCTGTACCCCAGCCCTGCCCTCCATTTTTATTACAGTTCTCAGAGGATCTCCTAGTTTCGTTATTATATTGCTAAGTGATCCTGTCACTTGAAGCAGCTCTGGTGGCACAGTGGTTAAGGCATCTGGCGCTAACCAAAAGTTTGTCAGTTGAGACCCACCAGCCAGCTGCTCCATGAGAGAAAGATGATGAGGTCTGCCCTCATGTAAGGATTTACAGCCGTGGGAACCCCACGGGGGCAGTTCTGCTCTGTCCTGTAGGGTCACCATGAGTTGGAATCGACTCGACAAGCTGTGGGTTTTTTTTAGTGGGATTGGTTATTTAACTTAATTGTTGAGTGAGTTTTTCATTTTTAAAGTGTTTTCTGTTTTCATCCTCTTCAGCGACTTTTTCTCTCTTCTCTCCTCATAAAGCAAATGAAGAAACACCCCTGCCGCCAGTGTGACAAGTCTTTCAGTTCCTCTCACAGCTTGTGTCGCCATAATCGAATCAAGCACAAAGGCATTAGGAAAGTGTACGCCTGCTCGTAAGTTACAGCCGCTGAGTGGGAGGCGCAGTGAGACCATGACGCGGGGCGTCTGCGAGGCTTTTTCACGTTTGCCCATTGACCTTCCATTCCCAGTCTTCTCATAGCTTCCGGCCCAGATGTCTTCATTACATTCTGTTGTTTGGCATGTAGTTTGCTGATTGGATGGTAACTCTTAAATGTATGAAAATAAAAGGAAGGTGCCCCCACACACACATACACACCACCCTGTGCACATTCCTATGTTCTTACTTGTTACCTAGAGGTATGTATTTAACACTGAGCCTTAGGTGGAGGGGACTGACTGGCAGCTGTGTGGCTGCGTGCGGTGCCTTCTGGTCCCTACACACACGGTGACCTGCCCACACTCTCCTTGGCTGATTGATTTTTACTCAGTGGTTTGGAGGAGGCCTTGCTAGGCTGGGACTTAGATTCAGGCCTGGGCGGGGCTGCCCCTTGACTGTAGTCTTTGAGATAGGGCAGCTTTTTTCAGGGTACACCATTGGCTGAAAAACCAAATGGGAGAGACTGAAAGGGCCAACTCAGACCTCTGACCTCTCTGGATGGTCATGAGCCGAGGCACTTTGTGGATTAAGTCAGGATTTGTTACATTATAATAAGTGACAGATCTTTGTCACCCACTTAGCACTTAGCCAGAAGATAAGAACTATTAGTTACTCCCTGAAGTGAGTTGATAAATAATGTTACTTATTTTAAGGGACTTTTCATGAAAGAAAGGGAGCTGAAAAGACCCTGAAAATCCATAAGCAGTCTGCGGCTCGTGACCATGATGACGCAAGGTGATGTGTCGAGGCTCAGGAGGCCCAGGAAGTTGGGCCCTCAGTTACCGTGTACTGTGTCTTGACTGGTTATATTTCTTGGAGGAGGTTGTCTCTGCAGACTCTCCTTCACTGAAATTGAAGCTAGGAGTGATTTTGGGGGAAATAACATTTTATGAGTAAATTCTCTGTTGAGCCAAATTCAAAGGATCAGAGGATTAGGATGCCCTGGGCTCCTTCTGAAAGGAGCTCTGGTGGCGCAGTGGGTAAGACATGTGGCTGCTAACCAGAAGGTCAGAGGTTCAAAGCCACCAGCTGCTCCATGGGAAGATGAGGCAATCCATAAAGGTTTACAGCCCTGGACATCTTTGGGGGGTTGCTGTGAGTCAGAATCAACTTGATAGTCTTGGGGGGGTTGGTTTTGGGGATCTTTGGGGCTCCCTCTAATTAGAATGCAGACCCTGGGCTGAGAGGAAAGGGGAAGGAGCGTCTGGCCGGCAGACTCTTTCCTCTGGTCCCTGCGAAGTCACTGTTAAGATGTAAGATGTGAGCATTGTCCAGCTAATTTAGTGCCAGCAAAAACTCATCCCTGGGAGCATTTGGTCTTTGGTGCTGGCTCTAGCCACTGCCCCTGGAGAGAAGCTGTAATGTGAAATCATCAGGGTGTAGGGGACAGTTACCATCAAATCCCCAGGATCCTTTATGAAGGCAGCGAAGTCGGTTTGGAGTAAGACCGTAACAGAAGCGAGTGGTATTCTTTCTTTTTTAAAAAATAATATTGTGTTGTGTTTTCGGTGATAGTTTGCACAGAAGTTTTGGTTTCCATTCAGCAGTTTCTACACCAGGTATCCAGGGATGCTGGTCACAGTCTTCACAATGTGTGAGCCTTCTCATCGTCTCTGTCCTGGTGGTTCCGTTTCCGTGAATCTTGTTTCGCTGCCCCTTTATAGTGTCATCTTTGTTTTAAAGTAATCACTGACTGGTAGGTGAGTTTCAAGGAGCACAGCATTCCAGTGATATTCATTGTTTTTTGAGCCACTTTGTTATTTAGCTGCAGGGTGACCTCAGGGTCACCTTGGGTTCAAGGTTTGAAGAGAATCTCAGGGCAGTGGTCTTGAGGAATCTTCCAACTTCAACCCATCCAGTAGGTCTGATATTTTTGGTTATTTGTTTAGTGTTTTTAAGAATTTAAGGTTCTGTTCCACACTCACCCCCCCCCCCATTCTGTCATCTGTTGTGGCCATGATAAGAATGGTCGATAGTTGTAGCCAGGCACCATCTAGTTCTTCTGCTCTCAGGGTCGATGAGGCCATGGTTTGTGTGGACTGTTTGTCCTGTAGACTGATATGTTTCTTTGCAGTGATACTCTTGATGTCTGGCTTATAGCATACATACTCACCATGGTTGTTAACTTTTATGCCTGTTTTTTCCTGGTTTATTAAGAAAATAATAATTCATATTATCCAAAGAAACTAAACTCATGGTCCAAATGATCTTAATTTTTGTGTAAGTTTAAATGAAAACGTAAAGAAAATGAGCTGTTTGGGATATCTGTTCACAGTTCTCTGTATTTCAGTCTACTGAATAACCACACACCTTTGAGGACTGTGATTGTAAGTGTGCATGTTGGGTTTGTGCTCTGAGGAAGAATTTGACTGACTAGACAGTCTTCTCTTGGTTAGGCAGAGTGGACAGGAATAGGTCAGGTCAGCATGGGGAGTCCTGGCGGGGCTTTGTGCCTTCATATTAAAGGGCCTGTCATGTTGTAAATTTGGAGGGAACACTAACTCATTGTAAGGAAACCTTAAATCTATTGTTTTCCATTTTAACATGAAAGCTACCTACTACAATCACAAATTAAAGTAATACTTTAGGGCAAACCCTTGAAAAGAAGTATTGCTTCTGAAACAAGTTTGGCTGCCCTGTGAGGACACAGAAATGGACAATGGTTTACAAAAGCTGTAAAACTGTTTTCGCTAATTGGAGCCTATGCCTCAGAGCACAGTTGCTGTTTCGCTTGGGCCTTCGGTCTCCAGATGGATCATTGTGACTTCTCTGAGTGTCCCGTGGCTGGGGAGAAGCTCTCCCAGCAGCAGACGTAGGCCTCGGTGTGAGGTGGTTTTGTGGGCAGGCGGGTTACCTCTCTGTCTCCTGCCCCACAGGCACTGCCCAGACTCCAGGCGCACCTTTACCAAACGGTTGATGCTGGAGAAACACATCCAGCTCATGCATGGGATTAAGGACCCCGACTTAAAAGAGATGACGGAAGGCACCAACGAGGAGGAGACGGAGATAAAGGAGGACACCAAGGTCAGACCCTGCACATGTTCTCCTCATGGCGAAAGTGTATTGACTTGCTTTTTCCTTTTACACATGTGAACCTGTTCCCATTCAGATATGCTCAGTTTTGCACATCCTTAAAACTTCAGACTACAGATAAGGGTGAAATCACAATCTCCCTTGACACCCATTCTGACCCTTCATCTTTTCCTAAAAGGCAACCTTTATTAAGTGTCTTCTGTATCCTTCCAGAAAAAACTGCAAAGATCTACTTACATGTATAAATTTTGAATTTGTGCATTGATTTACAGAGGGAATGTTTAAGATTCCTTTTCACTGTCAACGTATTGTTCGGTATGTCTAAAACCAAACCAAGCCCATAGCTGTTGAGTTGATTTCTACTCATAATGACCCCATAGGACAGAGCAGAACTTCCCTGTAGGGTGTGCAAGGCCATAATCTTTACAGAGAAGCAGACTGCCACACCGTTCTCTCCCACAGAGTGGCTGGTGGGTTCCTGCTCCTGACCTTTCAGGGCCAGCCAAGCACTCTAACCATTGTACTGACAGGGCTCCTTTTGATTATTACAGGCATCTAGTAAAAATTATGAAGTGATTCTTTTTAACTTAGCTTTGAAATGATAAAACATAAAACTACATATTTGTGCTTTGTTTTTATATTGAGTGAACTTTATTCAGACAACAAGAAATATATTATGGCCTGTGTACAAGTGCTTGCGTGTGCCAAGTGCTGTCAGGGAATCAGAGAAGGCACTAGGCAGAAACATTAGGAGCCCCGCCTAGAATGTACTGGGATGTGGCACTCCGTGCTTTCCAGGAACGAACCACTGAGTAGAAGAAGCGACCAGAACACAAGTCAGATTAGTAAAGCCTTGAAGTACATCCTTTGCCACTTATGAAAGGGGGCATGACGAGCGTCCACACAGTGGTGGCATCTGCCCATGGTGGTGGCTGAGCGATGCCCTGCTAACAGGCAGAAACCACATGCCCTGGGGTTTGGGGGAAGGAAGTGTCACTTTGGCTTGAATTTTTGGAGTAAAAGTGAGGGGATTGGTTGTGGTAGAATTTACTTTTAGTTGCCACATTTCAGACTTCATTTTTAAGTATTTTTGTTCACACCCCCATAAGTGGACTTACCTTCTTGAGGATAATAAGAGTTTGGTCTTATTCTTGTTTTTTCACCACGAAGTTTGGGGCTGCCTGTTGAATAAATGGAAGCTCCAGGAATTGGGACTATAAACACGAATAAAACACCACAGAATGTGGCACGGATGTGGTAGAATTTAGCAAACTGGAAAGGAAGGAGGAGGGCATTTCCTCTGTGGAAGCAGTGTGGAGGGTGGGAGTGGGCTGGGAAGGGCATTGTGACCAGGTGGGAGCAGTCACTGGCCCAGCGTGCTGCCTGTGTGTGGGCCCTGGAGAACAGTAGGAGTGGTTGGGCCATGGCTCTGGGATGGGGATGTCTCCCTGGCTCCTGACTCTCTAAAGTTGTAAACAGTGTATGTGGTTGATTTTTAAGATGCCATCAATTATAAAGCATATCATTATTTTGTGTGCCACTAAGAGAGAAAAAGAGCTGCCAATTACAGTAAGCTGTGACAGGCCATCCATTGTAGGGGGTGTGCTATTCCAGAGATGTTTGAACGTGGGAAAATGAACACTGGATGAAATGTGCAGTTTTAAATCCTCAAAGGAGCCCCAGGCTTGGCTTTGCCATATCACACCAGTGAAACCCCTAGTCGGGGTGACCTTGCCCTCCCTCCACTGAATGGGGGTCTGTGTCCTCGTCCGACTTGATCCCTCGGCAGTATCTGGTGTAATCGCCCACTGCACTTGGAAACAGTGATCTCCAAAGCCATGAGCACACACACTCCAGGTTTCCCTTCTCTGCCTCTTCCTCCTCCACCTCACCTCGAAACCCTGGGATGGCCTCTGCTGGCAAAGTCCTCTTCCTGGTTCACAGCCAGTGTCAGAGAGGGCATGGCTTCCACAGCTCACTTAGAGGGAGGTACGGCTTTCCTAGTGGTACCCAGAAAACCTGTCCTCGTTGTCTCTGGCCTGAGTTGGATCACATGCCAGTTCTTGAGCCAGCGAAGAATGGTATTATCCTTAGGCCGATCAGAGCCCCTCTCGTAGCTTAAAGTAGTCAGTTTAGCTCAGGTGAAGCCTACGGCTACGTGGGCTGTGGTTGGATACCTGAGCCAGAGGAATGTTCTGAAGAACAGAAAAGAAGGAGCCAGCCAGGACCTTTGCACTCTTCTTGTGCTTGGGGTTCCCTTCCCCTGCGTCTTCTCAGGCTCCCTCCTCATCCCTTAGGTCCCAGCTTAAATGTCATCTTCCCAGATGGGTCTTCTTTGATCATTACCCTGTCTATAGGAGTCCTCCTGTACCCTTTCATTCCCACTACTCTGCAGTAACCTCATCTGCGCGACTGTCTGAGGGCCGGGAGCCCATCTCCTTACCCCATGGGTCACAGAAACTAGAGTGTTGGATCCTGAACAACTTTACACTTCACTTGAAATGGGTAGGTTAACAGAAATTGAAAATGTAAGCGGTATTTGATAAGCTCTCTTCTGTGTGTTGTGGTCTCTCCCTGAGGGAATTGGAGTTGTCACCACCTTACAGAGCTTCAGATGAATCTCCTAGTGTCCCTGTCTTAGTCACAGACAAAGCCAGAGTCCTGACATTATCTCTCCCACAAGGCTCTGGACAACTGCCCTTCTAGCTCCCAACTCATCTGCTACACTGTCCCTGGGCCTCGACTCCAGCCCCCCCCACCTCCCTGCTGTTCCTTTAGCACACAGGCTGGTTCCCGCCCTGCATACACAGCTTCCTTTCCCTGGAACGTGTTCTGCCTTGTAGCCACGTGGCTCATACCCTCACTGCATCAGCTCTCTGTTCCAAAGTGTCACCCAGGCTGCCCCTGACCATGTGCTATAACCCAACCCAACAACCCCACCCACCCCTCGTTGCTTTCCAGCCCCTCTCCCACCCCCTGCTTGGTTTGCTTTCCGGTGTCTGGCATGCCGTAAGTGCTAGCTGGTTGGTTTTTGCTTGTCCTGCTCCCTGGGACCATAAGTCTCATGAGGTCAGGGGCTTGGACATTCACTACTGAGCTCCACTGGCCAGAGCAGGAGCTCGGTTCATTTGTAGAGCGCAAGAGAGGTGGCTGGATGCTTCCGGTGGGCTGGAAAGCATACAAGGACTCAGAAACCAAGGTTCCAAAGCCGAGTGTGTATGCTTTCACAACAGCTCTCAAGTCAAGGAGAACTGGCCATTCATTCCCTAACTGTCCAGCCGAGGATTGTAATCTGTGCCCTTCGTCTTGTTTTTCTCCAAGGCCCCCAGTCCAAAGCGGAAGTTGGAGGAACCAGTCCTAGAGTTCAGACCGGCCCGAGGAGCCATCACTCAGCCGCTGAAAAAGCTGAAGATCAACGTCTTCAAGGTTCACAAGTGTGCTGTGTGTGGCTTCACCACGGAGAACCTCCTGCAGTTCCATGAACACATCCCACAGCACAAGTCCGACGGCTCCTCCTACCAGTGCCGGGAGTGTGGCCTCTGCTACACGTCCCATGTCTCGCTGTCCCGGCACCTCTTCATTGTGCACAAGCTGAAGGAACCTCAGCCAGCGTCCAAGCAGAACGGGGCTGGGGAGGACGGCCAGCAGGAGAACAAACCCAGCCCCGAGAACGACGCCTCAGACAGCGCGGTGTCCGACAGGAAGTGCAAAGTGTGCGCCAAAACTTTTGAAACGGAAGCTGCCTTAAATACTCACATGCGGACCCACGGCATGGCCTTCATCAAATCCAAAAGAATGAGTTCAGCGGAGAAATAGCCACCGACACTCCCCAAGGAAGATCCCTGTCCACATTGGAATACAAAAGACATTTTTGTTACAAAAAAGTTTGCAGTATAATAGAGTTAAGGGTACTGTGTAGGCTGTTGCAATATATTCTCCTTCAATGTTCCCTCTCCACCTCGTGGTATATAGCCTCGATAATAAGTATTAAAACAGTATTTGAGTTTAAAAGAGTTTGTATATATTTAAATGAATAACTTTTTATACTCTTTGTTACATGTTTGTATCAGTATTTAGTGGAAAATCTTTTGAGTCTTTTTTGGGGGGTTAGAATTTTTCTTTTTTGTACTGTTTTCTTTAACACAGAGTTCTTAGTCACAGAGGCAGTTCCTGAATTCAAATAAACCATTTTGTAATTTAAGAATTTGAATGGGTTAACTAATTACAGGCGAAGATAATGCCTTTTTTAGTGTTTTTAATTTTTAGAATTCACTACGTAAATTGTAGGTAATTGTGGGTCTCAAAACACTAGGAACTTTTAAGTGTCTTAGCACTACCCTCAGGGTGCCTACTCTGTGTGAGCATACCGGCACATCTGAGACTCAGGTGCACACCTAGGTGCACACCTGAGACGCAGCCCCACATAGGTGCATCATGGGTGTTTCAGGCCACGCCACACGGTGTTCAAAGCAGCCTTGCAAGTCGCTCCTTCCCAGTGATGGATGAAAGCAGAGTCCAGGATGGAATGTGGGTTTCCTTAATTCCATGTAGAGGAATGAGGAAAGAAGAGCATTGTAAGGGGGAAAAATAGGGGGGCTGGTGGTTTTCTGGGTCAGTTTGCAAGGCTGGTTTGAAGAGCACAAGGAGATAACTGTTACGAAAGGGCTGGGCTACTGTAAAAGTTACCAATAATGTAGTTAGATCAGTAGATTCATGTAGTCAGGTGTTTGTCATGTAATTTATTAACTGTTACAGAGACACAACTAAGAATACCAAGTATTTCTCTGGCTCTTGACAGGAAAGAAGAAAAAAAAATCACAGTTGACTTAACCCTTTGCTGTCTACAGAGTTGGCGTTTCCTGTTCCGGGTGCTACTGCCAAACGCCCTGGTACTTAAGAGCTGGGATGCACATCTTCAGCCACCGAATATCAATGCAGCAGCTGCAGTTGGCCGTTAGCTTAAGCACTGAGCCACCTGGCTTTCGTTCAGTCATTTCAATAAGTATATTTAATGTGGGTAGTTCAGCTTCATTGATGTGCAACACAGGTACTCTTCTGTCCCTTCCATTTGTAGTTCTCCGGGAGAGTTATATTTTTTTGTCTCTCTTTTTTTTTTTTTTTTTAATATCTTTTTTTTTTTTTTTTAATATCTTGTATTTATCCCTCAATGTGTTTTGTACTTTTTTTTAAAGAGATTCTTTTGTGTATATGTAGATATTTGCATGACAGACTGTGGTCAACGTTCAGTTCCTCACAAGTCTTGCTGCTCTCTGGTACTGCGCACTACTCCCATCCTAACTGTATGAGACACATTTCATATGTAAATAAACGTGGGGCATTTGGCCCTTGTGTGCTTCTGCGAGAGAGTTATTGATGGAGGGTCTCTGACATCTTCATGAAGTTTAGGAAATGATTAATTGCAGGACCAGGCTCCAGGATATTGCAAAATTCTTCACACTCAGAAAAATGGGAATTTGTTCTCGTGAGTGGTTAGCTTCTGTCACTTTCTCATTTATCCCATCAGTACGTTGGTATAACCAAGGGGGTGTGATTAAGTATTCCTCAACTTGAATTTCAATTGCTGTTACTTGTTCTATTTATATTTGTATTGCTCTAACTTGTATTCATAGCACTTTCATCTGTTTCTGAGTTTGAACCTTGCAATAAACCTGTGTGGTGGGCTGCACAGGTCTAATACCCTCCTTTTATGGTTGAAGCTGAGCTCAGATTCAATTCTCTGCCCAAATCCTCACGGCCGGTAAGTGGCCATGAGGGTCCGAACCCAGATATTTTAAGTCTAGTGCTCGCTCTATGTGTTTATGTACATATTGACAAATACTCATTTATTCAACAAATAAAAAGTATGTGCAAAACACGATACTAGACTTTTTGTTTTTGGCAATACAGCTTCTGTAACCAAAAAAACCCAAACTCACTGCCATCCAGTCGGAACCGACTCATAGTGACCCCTCCTTGGGTTTCTAAAGGGGTATCTCTGGGAAAGTAGATTGCCCCATCTTCCTTCTGAGGAGTGGTTGGTGGGTTTGAACCACTGGCCTTCAGGTTAGCAGTCAACATGCCTTAGGCACTATGCCACCAGAACTCCTCAGCTTCTGTTAGAGAACCTGAAAGTCTATCTCTTCTTAAATACCCAGAAGTGCTTGGAAATCTGTAATAAGTACCTATTAAAGGTCTGACGGAGTGCACGAGAGAATATGAGAATGCCCAGGGCCCGAGATGAAGAAACAAGTCAGTAGAAAATCACCATATGGTACTGTAGCCCTGGGGGAGCCTCCAGATGGTCTGAAGAGAAGTGGTGAACTGGAACATAGATCGTGAGGAAATGTAGCTAGAGTACAGCACAGAGCTAAGGGGTGGGCTGTGTGAAAGAAGGTGTGGAAGCAAAGAAGGACCAGGCGAAAGGAGCCCACTGGAGTTTAGTAGGCGTCCCATAAAGAGGAAATAGAATTGGGAAGGGACCACTCATCTGTCAGTGGAGGGCCTGCTTGCTTGGTGGAATGCTGAGCAGGTTTCAGCAGAGCGTCCGGACTGAGGAGGAAGAAAGGCCTGATGACCTAGTGCTGAGAGTCGGTGACAACCCGGTGGACCACAGTGGTTCAGGCCCAGTCAGGGCAACGGGGCAGTGGCTAACAGCAGCACCGGCGTGGGGGATTCTTAGTCATCACTGAGAGGCATGAATCCTCGGGTTCAGCATGAATGCTGGGCATGAATCCACACCTGCACTTGAAATCTATTGGTTACAGATGCTTGCTGTGGGCATTCGAGAAGGAAGATACCGTCAGAAAACTGGGGCATACTCTGCACTATTGGGAGGCCTGCTTATCTGTTGAGAGATGTGAGAGCTGAGGCTGGATGAGTAGGCTTGAGCAAGTTGTACAGAGCGGTGGTTGACAGCCAGGAGGGTTTGTCCTCTTTGGTAGGCAGAGGAGTCACTTGGATGGAGTGACCTGACTAGATTAAGTAGTGGAAGTGTTTAGGACGGATGGCAGGGCCATGCATCAGGACAGAGTAGGGTATGCTATGGGAACAACCCCAGTTCTTACTGGCTTACAACACTAAAGCTGCTTGCTCACATTTGGTGTCTATCGTGGGTTGGCTGGAGACATACCTCCATGGCCTGTCGTCCCATTACCCTACTATCACACATCCTGCAGGTTATTGTGGCACAGGAAAATGAGTAATTAAATTCTCTGTCCCAGAAGTGACACATCATTTCTGTCAACTCATGGGCCAGAATCAGTCATGTGGCCTCACTGATCACAAGGAGATCAGGAAATGGCATCCTACCACATGCCCAGAGGCAGAAACCTAGAAATACCTGAAAAGCGTAAATGACCATCACAGGAGGAAAGTTTGTATTGGTGCAGTGATGATCTAGCACAGTCTTCAGGACGTGGATGGGAGGACTTGACCAAGGATGGTGGGAAGTCTTGGAAGAGTTGTAATATTTCAGAAGTACAGCAGAAAGATTTCACACTGTGGGGTCCCTAGAAAGAAGGTAAGTCTAATCCGAAAGTTCAAACCTAGATGATTTCTTGAACAGACTTTTTGAGATACTTAGATTGCTTAAAGGGAAGCATGGAAGTCAAAATTAGAAGCTGGTTATGGGGAAGATGATGAACTTGAGCTGTAGGTATACATACAAGAGAGGTCTTTGTTTGGATGGGTGTGGTTGGTTGATTTTATTTTATCAATAATTGTGTGACAGCAATGCACAAAGAAGAATGCCACCAAGGTAATGTTGTTATGTGCCATCGGTTGCCAAGGCAGTATCACTACGAAAGTAGATTGCCCAACCTTCCTTCCGAGGAGCGGCTGATGGACAAGGTAATAAAGGCTTTCAAAAGGACAAAAAGGAGCAAATGAGCTTGGGCTATGGGACAGAAACCACGTTTTCCTCCCAAACACGTTTTCTGCCACATTCCTAACTCCTATTCCATGCAGTTTAGCATAGTGCCTAAAGCACTTGATTGCTAACCAGAAGCCTGGCGGTTCAAACCCACCAGCCACTCCTCGGAAGGAAGATGGGGCAATCT